AACCGCTTCTCTGGCTATGCTGAGGCCGCGTCCCACATACAGCAACTAGAAGGATGTGCAGCTATGACATACAACTATCTACTGGGGCTTTGGGGTAAAAATAAATAAATAAATAAAATTTAAAAAGTAAATAAATAAATAAACTGAACAAGTAATTTAAATTTATGTTTAAGCTCAGCGATATAACAGGACAAATATTTAACTTCTGACTCCACGACATTTGAGATAATTTACTTCTGTAACCATTTCATTCTCTTGCCAATTTTCCACAAAAGGTCGTTTCTGAACAGTGGAAAACAGTCAGCTTTGACAGGGATAAATCAGCATCTTTCTTGGGGACAGGGGACACACTGAGTCCTGCCAAGGCCACAGCAAGGGGTGGCATCGAGAAGTCTTAAGAGCATGGCTTATGGAGATCAGCCACTGACTGCGTTCAAACCCCAGTTCCTGCACTTCAGAGCTGGGCAACCTGGTTCAGTTTTCCAAGTCTCAGTTTCCTCCTCTGTAAAATGGGGATAAAAACAATACCTAATCCTGCAGCACTGAAACCCACGTCAAGTGCCACGCAAGAACGCCCAGCACAGAGCGAGCACTCAGTCAACACGGGCAGCTGCGCTCGGCCTGGCCCGGTTCCCAGCCCCTCGGACGCCCCGACCCTGACAGCAGTCCTCACCGGCGCGTACGGGGGGCTGTACTCTCTGTACTTGCGGTGCCCTTTCTCGCTGGGGCTGAAATCCGAGTCATCCGAGAAGTCGGAGAAGTCATCGCTGGAGGAAGCGTGACGCTGCAATGACAGGGGAAGTGGAGTTAGCGACTCTGCTGCAAGCAGGCCACTGTGGCAGAGTCAGCCCCGGGACAAAGACTGCTGGAATGTGCCAGAAGGGCTGTGTGCTCCTGGTGAAACACCTCTCCTAGGGGCATTCAGCGGCAACGGAGCATGAGCTATCAACTCTTTAAAAAAATGTCTTGATCCAATTTGGAGAAGGAAGAAACAACACTATTAAGAGTGCCCTCTGGCCTGACGGCCGAGCTCGGCCCTGGGGCTCTCGGCCAAGGCCCAGCGCCAGGCAGCAGGCGGCCGGCACACCCTCCCGAACCTACTTTGTGCTTGGATTTCCTCCTCTTCTTCGACCTCCTCTTCTCCTTCTCCCGCTCTTTCTTCCGTTTCCGCTTCAGTCTCCTGTGAGACTTCTCGTCGTCGGAATCGCTATGGTGCTTCTCCCCCTTCTCCTTCCGGCTCCTCTCGGGCCCTCCAGAGGTGTCCTGGGTCTCCTCGGCCCCGTCATCTTCCAGTTCACCTTCTTCCAACTCACCATCTTCCCTACAAACCAACCCCAAAGCCAGCATGAACGCGGGCTTTCAGAGCAGACCTCGGAGGCTCCGGGCTGCCCAAGGGCTGTGAGCGAGAGCTGTAACCCCTGCGGGAGGCCCTGGGAGGACGTGGGGCCACTGCCTCCTGTCCCATCCCTCAGCCTCCCCCCAGAAGGCCTGTGTCTGCTCTCATCTGACCGGGCTGGATGTTAAAGACATGCCACTAATACAGGGACAAATCTAAGCCAGTATTTCCCAAAGTGCTCCACAGGCCTAGAGTTCTAAGAAGAAAAGTGACGAGGGCCTGTGGTCGGCTCAGCTGAGGAAATCCCCACCCTGGGGATTCACAATGCCTGATGCTTAACAGAAGTTCCTGGAAGTCCCAGAGTCAGGAAACCTGTACGACTCTGCTTTAGAGTATTCCTGAAATTCACTTGACCCCAGAAGCTTCTTCTCTCAGGGGACACGGACTACCATCCCTCCCAGAGCACAGCCGCACACAGTGGCCCGGGGTCACCTGCTCAGCCCCAGCCTTACGGACGTGTCCTGTGAGCTGAGGGGGTGGCTGAGAGAGAGAGGGCTGTGGTTCTGAACCAGGGTGGCCCGCAGATTCCCGGGCCCACCCACAGGCAAGCCTGGACTGTGGCCCGAGGATGCTGAACGTACTTCACAAAAGCCCCGTAAGCACCACCTGTGAACAGGCTCCGGTCCCCAGGATTCAACCCAGACCCTCCTGAGGTCCTCACATGACGGCTGTCAGAGTGACGCTGGACGGGTCACCCCACACCCGCTGTTTCCCACCCGACCCCCTCACCTCCGGGTGGCCCTTCTGGCTCCCCGTCCTGCAGATGTCCTAACTCAACTCCCCCACACGTCACTCCAGCCTCCAGTACTCTAAAAACAAGAGCGCTCGCCAAATATGACAGAGGCTGCCAACAGGACATTCTAAACACCTAAATATCTATGGGATGGGGTGGGGTGAGGGGATAAACAGGGTTAAGAAGGAAGCCGCTGGAAAAAGAATCCAGTTTTTGAGCCAAACCCACAGACACAGTTCTCACAAGTACAAGAGCTGGTTTAAAAAAGTAAATAAATAAAAATTTTAAGTTTTAAAAAAACTCCCAAAGTTCCTCATGAACGACCATGAAAAAGTTTGTGTGTGAGCACAAAAAATCCCTTCCTTCTCAATTAACTAGGACCCAGAAAGAGAAGGAAGGTAACAGAGAGAGTAAGGCAAGGACCCCAGACCCAAAAGGCAGACCACAAAGGGAACCACTCCAGGCAGAAAAGGCCTCGGCTGCTCCAAGGGGACCGGGGTCCCGTGGGAACAAGCTCATCAGGCGAGCCCGGCCCCTGGAGCCCCCGAAGGTTCTCACAGGCTTTGTGGAGAAACAACAAACCGACGACTTCTCAGAGGATCCTTCACAGCCCCTTCCCTCGCCTCACTCTCTTTGTCCTCCTCAGTGCTTCTCCCAAGAACGTCAAGGAGACCTTCCAGAGAGGCCTTTCTACTAACTCTCACTCCCAATGCAAAGGGGTCGGGTGGGCTTAAAATCCAAGTGGGCCAGTCCCGCAGACACCCCAGCAGAGGTCGAGGGCAGTTCTCACACACAGAATGCAAGACACAGGGCTGGCCCCGTGGCTTAGCGGTTAGGTGCGCGTGCTCCGCTGCTGGCGGCCCGGGGTTCGGATCCCAGGTGCACACCGGCGCACCGCTTCTCCGGCCATGCTGAGGCCACGTCCCACATACAGCAACTAGAAGGATGTGCAGCTATGACACACAACTATCTACTGGGGCTTTGGGGAAAAAAAATAAATAAAAAAAATTAAAAAAAAAAAAAAGAATGCAAGACACAAAACTTTCTGGTGTTTCAAAAGGAACACTACAGAGAGGGGACCCGCGTGCCCCTCGTGCTGTTTCCTCGTAAACCGCCAGGTGGTCCTGGGCCGGCCGCAGGGAGACGCCCAGCACACTTGGGAGATGGCAGCATTCCTGACAAGTGAGGCACCTTTGGGTGTGGCCCACAGACCAAGCCGAGGGATGGCCTCACCCACAGTAAAAGCGCCACCTGACTGGGGAAACTGGTTTGGGCGAGCTTGCCAATCCCAGGGAGAGGCTGTTATTTGGTGGCGTGGCAAACTTCCCGCTGCCTGGCGTTGTGTACAACACGGGGAGAGTGGTTACCGGAGCAAACAGGACATGCGTCCCTCATGGGAATACTGTGGGCGCGCCAGGTGGCCACACCTCAGGGGAAACACAGGGAGAGACAGACACACTGGACAGAGAGAGACACTGGAGCTGAGAAAGGCCCACAGACAGATGGGAGAGGTAGAGGCTGGTATTCCATGAAGAAAAGCTAAAAAGAGCATCACTCTCCACACATGAGTCTGGAAAGGAAGAGGCTGAGAAGGACATGGCGTAAAGGACCCAGAGTCCCAAGGCAGGGATGGAGAGAAGGCGGGAAGACAGGAACTGCCTGGGCTCCCAGAAGCCTGGATGAAAGAGAATAAAGCCCATGACCTCAAATAGCAAAAGACCCTCCTGGAACCAGGAGAGGTCTGTCAGAGCCACAGGGACAGTGGGACACCATCAACCCTCTCATTTCAGACAGGACGAATTTAAAGGGCGAACAGGTGAAGGGACTTGTCGAGGTCAGACAGCCAGGGGGTAAATGGAAAAAGCTAGAAACTCTTTTCCAACTCTAAGCCCATCATTCTTCCTGGATCTGCGAGGATGGAAAAGGAATGTGGAAGACCACTCATCGACCGCCTACTTGATGCCACAAACATGTCTGAGCATCTTCTCTGCGCCGGGTCCTTGAGCACCTTCTGTTCTGCATTGTCCTCGTAGGAAAAGATACAAATTACACGAAACCCAGCCCACAAGGCAGCCTGCGTGACACAGGGCCGGGGCGGCTGAGCCAGACCTGGCTAGCATCCCCAGACACTCCCTCACCTCCGCCTGCTCAAAGGGCAAGGATGCCACGGCACGGCAAGCGAAGGCCCCGCCCAGAGTTAGCTGAGGCTGAGGCCTCCATCCCTGTCCTGCTGCCCCGCGCTGGCCGGTATGAACGCGGCTGCTCTACACCTAACACCCGGGGGCAGGAGGCACAGGAGACCATCCAAGCAACTCCAAGGGCTTTAACCATTATCAAGAATGATTCTAGAAGAAAGTGGATTCATTCCAAAGGACTTATCGAAGGCAGGGAAGTACAGCATTCAAATCCACCCCACAAAGACTTTTGGCCAAAGAAGGATTCCTTGCACTACCTCTATTAACAGCCCCCGGCATAGCTGGGCTCACTGTACAGCTTTTGACAAAACAAAACAGGTAGTGAATATACTTGAAACTTTGTTTCCCTAAAGTTGGGAAAAGCTGAAAAATAAATAGGATAAAAACTGCTGGTGACTTATGCAGGAGAACGGGACATTGGAGGGGACAATGGGACAGTGACGCTCGACTGATCACTGCGCATTCTCAGTGCCATCTGGCCACGTGCTCTCAAACTCCTCAGAGCCCTGGGCCAACCTCTGGTCACCTGAGGGGGTCCTCTCTGATAACACTGGAGATTCCCAGCTAAATGTCCTGCCTGCATACGAGGTCTATTTTCTTCAGACTCTCCTTAACAGAAGGAAAAAAGGAAAGAAAGAAGTCAAACCAGCAGGGACAGACGGAGAAATCCTGTGGGCCACTGATGACTGCACACAGGCAGTCTCCACAAACTGCAACCAGGGTTAAGCGGTGCCACTTCACAGACTGCCGGCGGAATCCGTGTCAGAGTGGGATTAAATACCTAGGGAGCACGCTTAATAGACCGTGACATAATCCCCCAAGAAAAGTGGGGGAAGCCCCATTGCGCTAATCATTTCAATCAAGAGCTGCCAAACCCTCTCGAGACAAGCACGGAGGAGAAACCGTGCAGCATCAGCCTGGGCAGAGACCGCCGTGCTCCCAGAGCCTGGCCTGGCAGTGCCCCGAGATGGCTGCACCAGTCATCAGGGACAGGAAACCAACCACGCTGGGAGACCCACTTGGAACTGGTGCCCAGGAGGAGACAGGAAGAGGCCAACATCTTGCCGAGGGTCAGATCTGCCTTGTGCCTCTTGGACTGAGCTTCCAGGGCCTTTAAGTGACAGCCAGCTCCTCCTCTCAGGTCAAAGAACAGATCTGGATGCCCATTCTGAGGAATGCCCACTGGGCCAACTCCACAGGGCACAGATGCGTACTGAGTTCATCACAGACCATGGGCTTGGCAAAAACAGAACTTAGTAAAGAAATCTCATGTTTCAAAGTAGGCCGGCCCCACCCACCAGCCTAGAGATTTGGGCATCAGCCTTCTTTCTGCAGACCAAGTAACTCAACCAGCTCTGCCTCTTCCCTCACGCGTGCTCTTGGTACACGCAAGCACAGCCTTGGTTTTCTCAACTGCAGAATGGGATAACTACTACCTACCTCACGGGGTTGTGAGGGTTAAAGGAGGTAATATGGATGAGGGCCTTGATGAGGGGGGCAGGCACAAAGTAAGTACCAAACAGTAGTTACTGGTTTTAAGAACCAGCTAGCATGAGCCCGCCTCTACGTGGATAACTCTAAACTGGCTGGAACGCTTACTGGGAAGTGTTTTCTTTATGCAGAAGCTACAGCCAACTTCCCACGGGGGCCACTGCTCACTGCTGGCCAACAAGTTCCTGCTCCTCTGCGCCGACAAATCCTGCTGATGAAACTGACAAACCGACACCTCCCCTTCCTCAGCTCTCATCTAGATGGTACCAGAAAGTAGCCAAGTGGCTGACCAGGAGGAAAAGACACAGGGAGAGCTGAGCCCCAGAAAGAACCCCTTACAAAAATGAAGCTTGGCAACATGGAAATTCTCTAGACAAGAGAGTTGGATGGAAGTTGAAAAGGGCCTGGGTTTGTGGCTATACCTGGTTCACACATACCAAAAAAAAAAAGAGAGAGAAAGAGGAGGGGGCAAAAAAACAACAAAAAAGATGGAAACTCATGGGAGC